AAATACAGGAACCTAAGTTTCGTATTGCAAGTATTTGACATTGTCATCAGTTCCCTCTCTCTGGCCCAGTCTGGTCAGGATGCCTTTCAGGATCAAGAAGATAAAGGCCCAAAGGTGTCAAGGTAGATCCCAGGGTCCAAGAAGAGATGGAAAGGTGGAGTTTTCTCCTTCCAGTCCAGCTGTCCCCCCTACCACTCCCTTTCAGTAAAACCCAGATAAACAATGTCCAAAAATGGTGACAACCGTTTAGCATTAACATGAACCAATTAAAATACATTTAAATTATGTCAACTTTAAACATTTTCTCCCATTTCTGGAGAAATGTTTATCTCATTGTCATATCAACCCATTACTTGTTACCGGGAGCCTGGAATATGTCTTACCATGGTTCTTTTAACCTATACAACCCAGTTTGTACAAATGTATTTGTCTCAACTTTTGTAAACAATTTTATGTAAAAGGCTGAGTTGGATTTTTTTTATCTTGGACAACTTGAAGTACAGACCTCTGATCCTTGTTCCAGTCCCATTGATTTAGATGGGAGCAGTATATAGAAGGAGTTGTTGGTATTGGAAATAGTCACCTTTGTATCACCAATAAGAGGAGAGTGGTGTAAACACATTTTATTTTCACTGGTATTGGGGGAAAGGGATTTGTGTCACCTTGAATCTGATTTTCCATTCCTGTACTCAGTGCTCCTTGGTGTAAGCTAGAGCAACCTTAGGGCTATTTTAGCTTGCAATACGGCTGCAATGCTCCCTTTTGATAACTGAGAATTTTGGCAATGCAGTGAGCTGAGAGCCAGTGGAGACCCATTCTGACAGCTCTGTGTTGTCTGAGAAACCCCATTTATGGCCACTTTATGCTGCACCAGCGGAGTGTAATGGGGCCAATGGGGAACCAAGAATTGGGCCACTATTCTATAAAAACTATAAAAGGGAAGCAGTTGGTGTCTTACTAATTTGTAACTTGTATTATTATTGCATTTTTTAAAATTAATTTTAAAGAGAGGTAGTTATGTAGATGTGTCCAACTTTGTTAGAACGTCCTACAATGAGTTCTTAAAACAGCATTTGATTTAATAGATTCCAGCTCTTCCACCCCAAAATTTTGATGATGAGTTGAAGTGTCATCTTTTTTAGCAGAGATGACAATTTCAGTTGGAGAAAGATATGCATCTCGTGCTCTGACTTCAGATCCAGAGCTGTTCATCCCACTCTTTGTTTTGCACAGATTAAATTGTGTTGGACAATCACTCCTGCATTAAACTTTGTGCAAACAGCTTTGATAATGGTTGAGCAGGCTTTTGTTGTGGTACCAGAGAGAAAGGATACATTTTATTTTGTGGCAGAATTTATGGGTGGGTAGCCTTCTACCTGGTGCATTTAATAAAGGACACAGTAACATCACTGTAAACCTACTGTACTTCTTGCCCTAGCCAGGACTAAATGTGGATCATTCACTGTAAGTATAATTTCTGTCTGTTGTAAGAGCAGCATTAGTTGTCTGACTCCATGATTAATTATTACATTTTTCATTCTCAGGGCATTTAGCTATATCTCACATATAAAAAGTGATATGTCTGTTCAGAGTTATCTGTTCAACAGAATGTGAACATTCTTACATCGAAAAGTAATTTCCTTGCACTGTTACAATTTCGTCCGTAATTCTTCCTTCTTTATTTTGGCACTTTCATCTTGGTGCACGAGTTTCCTCACATTGTTTTTCTGTCAGTGCCTGCAATTGCTCAGTTAAATTATTGTCAGACTTGTCTATATTCACTAGGTATTTTGTGTCTGTTAGGAGATTCCACCCTTCCTTTATACACAGATTTCTCTCTCTCACACATATACATCGCTACACCCTTGTTGAAAATAGTGACACAAAACTCATCTCTGTGCTAAGATTGTGAGTAGTGATCTAGTAAATGATGATGAGATAAGATTGGAACTTCTGCAACCTCAGTGAAGAAATTTAACAATCAGTACTCATAAGTACAATACGTTTTTTCTATTTTTTCAGCTTAATTTCTGCTTTATGGGGTGCTTTGCTCAAACTTTATTTTACATTTAAGCAAAATATTTAACTTGTAGACCTTTCGGGATTGTTAAGACATTTATGGAAGCAGGATGAAAACTTTTATATACTCCTACATTTAACTGCTATAACACTAACAGAATCACAAATTACTTTACATTTTTGCAACATAGGCTCAGAAATGCCAGTTATGGGGAAGGGAGAAAAGTAATTTCTGAATTTATTTCATTTTAATACATGAGAAGATGCACTGTGAGTCTTTTAGACTTTTAGGCTACTGCATTAATGAAATCAGTGCACTTGAGCTGTAACATCCACTGTATATGTTCCCATTATTAACATTTAAGCCTGCATATTGGTGTAAGTAACAGATGATGTGAAGGCAGCAGATTTCATTGTAGTAGAAATGACAGCATCATCATGCACAGACACCGTTGAGGCAAATCCCTTATCGCCTCTATGAAAGCTACCAGCTACTCTATTCTGCAACTGATGGATGCAGCCTCCTTGTTCCCAATAATTATATGCATAGTTATTAAAACGTTCCTGTTTCTTCCCTGGTGAGAAAATCTGAGCTTAAAAATGAAATACCGATTCTGGGGCCCTGGAACTATTCACATAGTTCATAAACTAGTTCTGAAACATAGATCAGTTGGGGATAAAAAACAGTCCGCCCAGAGCTTTTCATTTCCTTTTTCCCCCCACCTTGGGTCAAAATTTGACCTCCTGTAAGAACCATTCAACCCTACTGACTTCAAAGGGAAACAGATTTACTTCACTGAAGTTTCATGTGTGTGACTGAGGGCATAACTTGACTTACATGAATTTGTAATTCTCATGAAAGTTGTCTGATGGACAGCCCTGGAGACTTGTACTACCCAGGGAGCACCAGCTTAAACTTCCCCACCAATATGTCTCAGCCCTCACCTGGAATGTTGTTTAGTCTTCATGTTCATTCCTTCCTTAGTTTATATGTTGAGGCTGCTAACTAGCATGCCAATTGAGACAATTTTTTTGCATGTGTGTGACATAGACATGAGTCACTCCTAACTGAATGGAGACTGTCAATTCATTTTATATAGATCACCACAGCAATTAAAAGGTAATGACTTTTGATCACTACCCGAACTGGTCAGGTTCATATTCCAGTATCCAATTTTCTCAGCCACTTAATTCTCCAGAGTTCTTCCTATCTAAAGATGATTCATTTTCTGCATATTCAAAAGTATTTTGTCTCTTGTATTTCTGGAATGCTCTCTGAAAGAAATGCTACTTTGGTGAAGTGGTGCAATTAATTGAAACTGACTTACGCGCACATTATATAGACAGGATTTCCCTCCCAGCTACTTTTCATTTTAAAAGGTACAGTGTTTATAGCTTAGAAATTAAAATGTGTTAAATTAGCAGCTAACTTTAAATTGATCTTTTAAAACCTTTCTCCATACATATCATTTCATTTACAGCTGTGAATTTGCAAAATATGCCTGCTGATGTCTTGAAGCTTTCCCAGGAGCAAATAATTTCTGAGGACAGAGTTTCTGGTAGCCAAAAAATGGGTTAAGCTGTTCAAAGTGACTTGGATATAGTAAAACTCCTGTTATAGTGAAGTAGAATGAAATCCCAAATTGTTTCAATGGATTATAATGTACAAACTAATTCTGGTTATAATGAACATCAGTATATAGTGAAGTTGCCCTGCTAAATATTGTCTTCACTATGGATCTATCCATATTATGGCTCAAACCAAATTAAAGCCCATGTTTAACTTGGCTTCAGTAGGATTCTAATTAAACTGTTTTTTTTTAACATGTTTGGCCAACCAGTAAGAATCATTGCATATTTGAATCATGTTTAAAAAACACGTTCTAGCAGAGAACCCACCGTACACTGAAAAATAGGTTCCAACTCCCTCCTGAATAGCTTTGTCTGATCCATGCTAGCTGGCCAAACTCTGACAGAAATCATTTTATCTGGATCTGAGTGTGAACACTGTTTCCAAACTCATTTTAAAGGACAGTAGAGTGGGCCAAAATCTGGGTCCTTATGTAATATACTGTTATTTAGTATAGCCTCTCACCATCCTGGGGATAATTACTTCCAGTATTTCCTAAACAAAACAGAACATGTGTAAGAACTGTTGGAAACAGCAGACATCCTTCTTTACATTGCTTTTCTACTGATCTTGTCTTCCTTTAACAGACCATGTTTTCACAAGCATTTCAAAATATTTCTCATCACTTGCCCTCAGAACTTGATCCAGTGACCTGAGAATCAAGAAAATGTCATGTTAGTGGCTACTAATTAGTGGATCGAGAGAGCTTCTTTGTCTGGCCTTTCAACTTTCCACAGGCAGCAGCAAAAGCTGTCATATGTATCATGCAAAGAAAATGAGCCTTTACCACATTTTTTCCCATGGTGTAAACCGTAGAACAAGCCCAGCTGAGACTAGAGATGAATATGCAGGTTAGGAAGAAATTAACCTACAATGTACTGTTTACATTTATTTCTCTTCTGTTGTAGAAGACATACTACTTCTGTCATGAGGAACATATTGTACATATGTGTGGCTGTTACCATGCAGCATTGTATGAGAGAGAGAAACAGAATCCCTGTATTTGTTCTGTTTATGTTGTCATTGTCACTCTGTTTTCTTCTCCCTTCAGTCATGTGAAATAATTTCTGACAAGGATTATTATTGTATATTAAAAACTAAAGATTAAGAAAAGCCCCAAAGCTTAATTGCCTTTAAATGTGTTTGCTGAACAAACTTATTAGCGGAGCATTTAGTAAGAGTCCTCATTAATCAATGTTGTACTCCAGTGTCTCCTGAGTCTTCTGGATTTTGGGGGATCAGCTACTGTAATTAAAGGAATGAAATATATCATGGTCACAAAATTAATGTGTTAGATGACTGAATGTTTTGAGTGGGTGAAATTAATCTTTTTTAATTGATATTTTTACAGGTCTTTAAGATAGAGGTGCTGATGAGTGGAAGAAAACATTTTGTCGAAAAGAGGTATAGTGAATTTCATGCCCTCCATAAAAAGGTAAATTATCTCTCTCTCCTTTCTAGGTGTGTAACTCAGGTGATATAATTTCAGTTTACCTTAGTTGATGTTTGTTTCACTTCCTTTGAAGGTGTCACTGGTAATGTCTTATCTTAACTATGTGCATTTCAGGTCATCTCTCATAAAAGAGATGTCAGTATATTCCATATGTTTTGTTAAGGAAGAGGGATGTTTCTCAGTGTTTCACGCTTTCCTTTCTTTTTGGTTCTTTTGTACCTGCCATATTGTTGTTAAACATCAGTAGAATCTTATGTCCGTGATAGATTTATTCTTGTAAAGGCATGAAATAATGCATATTTCTGTAGAAAAGGACTCTTTTGGGGAAGATAATTTGTATCTAGTCAAGCATGCTATTTGTTAACGCTAGAGAGTTAGGTGGCTAAACTCCTGTATGTTGAGTTGAACATGTGGTTCATATGTACCCACAAAGTTAGAGAAGAAAAAGACCTACTGTATCACAGTCCTTCCACTGCCCTTGTTGCAATATTGAATGTATCCAATACTAAATAGATACTAAGTTTGCTCTTTTCCAAGGGCTGAGAATAGTCATCTCATTTATATGTATGAGATAATACATTTTACTCACTAATTTCCCAACTTGAAATCTATTACTCTTTTTGAGTTGCTTAGAAGGGTGTCAAAAGGAGAATGTGATTGTCCCCCATCCAGTAGTTGGAGCTGGATACTTCTATTTAAATTTTCTGTTCTGAAAGGCAAACTTCTTATTCCATAAGTTTCTTCTGAAACAAGAAGTCTGGAAAAGAAGCAGTTCACTGAAGGTGACAGAAAAGTGGAATGCGCCTGCTGAGCTCCTGTTTACTAGAGAGCTTTATAGGAATAAGAATATGATTTGTTTTGTAGATTTTTGTACAGTAGTTGTTATGTGCATGCATTTCTTAACCTTTTTCTCCTTGGTAGATTGTGCAACTAGCTGCCATTTAAAATTTTTCAGTTACATTTTCTTTACAATCCATATTTATCTCCCAGTATTCAGTTGGGGCCTGATTTTTTGCCTTGTGCTAAGGCTGATTATACCTATCAAAATCAATCACACTACTCACTGAGGCCCCAGTCCTGCAAAAAAAAAAAAAAAAAAAATATTCACAAGCTTAACTTTACATACACTTGAGTGGTCCCATGCCTTACATTTGTGAGTAATGTGTTTCATGATCAGGTAGTTAATAAGGTACTGCTTAGTGTGGGTAATGGTGGCAGAATCAAGCTGTTGATGTGTAAGGAGTACTCTGTTAAATATAGTCGTATCTGTCCTCCAGTTCTGGTTATCTAACTTCAGTGTAACTTCTGTAGTTGCCAATTTATTCCCTGCACAATTTAGTTCCTCCCTACTTCTCTGTTTCTGACATTTTTTCACTTACCCATTGCCCTCTTTGCTCTCCTCAAAATTTAGGAATAACTGCAGCATTTATGTCTGTGTTCTTCTGTTCTCAACTGCTTTCTTTCACATGTCCCCCTATACCAGGATCTCCTCTTGGATTTGGCATGCTGTACCTCTACCCTCTTCATAGTCTTCCTTAAAACATACTGCTTCCAGGACGTCTGTAAATGATCGTCCTTTCGTCTCTCCCCAGAAGTGCTAGCAAAAGAAATAAACCTCCAAACCTGGAACTATAATAAGACCTATTCTAGACTTCACTGTTAACAATTACTTGTTTTTCCTATCCCTGGTGTGCTCATTGCCTGTTTAGATTGTACTGTGAGCTCTTCAGGGCAGCAACCTTGTTTCTGTATTCATTTCCTTTATTTATAGAGGTAAAGCACACAACATTCTTTTTATAGCAAGTTCTCCTTCCTCCACCACTTTACCAAAGACCTTGGTGGAAATCTTGATCTCCTTTAGCAATAATGCACTAGCTGTTTTCTCAACTAGTTTTTTCTCTTCTGTTCATAATAGAGGAATATTGATGTCTCGAAGCTGTACTAAATCAGTGCATTTGCCTTTTCTACACTAACACCAGTAGACCGTGAACCCTTTGGCAGAGAAAGCTCAGTCAATACAGATTCTGTGGATTCTACTCTTCTTAAATATCTGCCTCCCTGTTTTCCTACTTTCCATAAATAACAAAATGTCCTCACTCCTCGTGGAGATTTTTGATATCCCCTAACCTGAATAATTACTACAAACAGCTTTATTTTTAAATAAGATCATAAAGATCATTTAAAGCAAAACTGAAATTTCTTCCCTTGACAGCTGTCCCATATTAAAGTTGACAACTTTTAAAGATAAAGCCATAAAGGCAGGCTGAAAACAAACTCCCATACCCTACAGGTTTTGCAATTCCCTCAGGGCAGAGCCTGTTGTCGCATTGTAGCGTATGTACTCCATTTGCAATCAATTTTTGCTGTAAAGGAAATTTTTTTAAAGTGATTCCACTTGATTAGACCTGTATTTCACTGTAAGGTAAACAAACTTGTGTGTCATATGGTTTTCTTTGTATAATAGTGTCCACGTTTTCAGTGTGTGAATCAATTATTTTATAGTCCATTTTTTTCCTCTTTCCTTTGTAAAAATAATCATTAGAGAAAAAATACATATCTAGAATCTTTAAGGTAAAGTATGAACTTCAATATTTGATGTTTGTGAAAACAAGACATCTGTGAAGGTGTCTTTTAAAGGTGTCACATGCCCCAAAGCCCTTGCTTAGATGGACTTTTCCCCAAAGGAGTTGAGCCAAGTGGAAGTAAGGGGGCCTATCAGGAATGACTATTTTCTGCTTCCCTCTTTCCTAGGGTTGCCAGGCATCTGGTTTTCGACTGGAATGCCCGGTCGAAAAGGGACCCTTGTGGCTCCAGTCAGCACTGTTGACTGGGCCACTAAAAGTCCGGTTGGTGGCGCAGCAGGGCTAAGACAGGCTCCCTGCCTGCCCTGGCTCTGCATGGCTCCCGGAAGTGGCCAGTATGTCCGGCTCCCAGGTGCAGGGGCAGCCATGGGGGCTCTGCGTGCTGCCCCCGCCCCGAGCGCCAGCTCCACAGCTCCCATTGGCCAGGAGCCGTGGCCAATGGGAGCTGCAGGGGCAGTGCCTGCGGGCGTAGGCAGCACGCAGAGCCCCCTGGTCGCACTGCCATCTAGAAGCTGGATGTGCCAGCAGCTTCCAGGAGCCACCTGAGATAAGCGCCGCCCAGCCGGAGCCCACACCCTGAACCCCCCTCCCGCACCCAAACTCCCTCCCAGTGCCTCGGGACGGAAGCAGGACAGGGGGCAGGGCAAGGGTGTTCGGTTTTGTGTGATTAGAAAATTGGCAACCCTACTTTCCCCTATTGTGGGTGACTAGAAAAGGCAAGAGGAGATACTGATGAAACTACACCATACTAGCAATGTATGAGGGAAGGACTCCAGTTCCAAGTTGGAATAGGAGATTCCTTACTCAAAACATTAATGAATGTCCATTTTTAAAAACAAAACAAATAAAAACGTTCTCAAGAAATGTGGCTTGATTACCCACCTGTCTGTGTCCCCCTCTTCCCACATTCCAGCTGCATAAAGGAACTGATAAATCCTGCTTCCTGTGCTGCCAAATAAGAAAGAGAGAAGACCTAAAATCTGGTAGAGTATATTTGCTCATTTACACAAGCTCTCTGTTCCCACAACTCACAGGCAGGTGTTTATTATTGCTGGCTTTTCACACACCTGGCTGGCCTTGCACAGAGTAGATTTGGCCTCTGTGTATTCAACAAACTAGACTTTGCATGTTTACACACCTGGATATTCAGAATGGTATTTGTTTCTGATTAGAATCTTAATTATTTTCACCTAGTCAATCTCCAGAGGGATTGAAATACTTTATTTCTATACATAAACATATATTATATTAATATAAATATAAAATATAAATATATATACAATTATAAAATAAAATTATGAAACATATATTATAAAAATATATATTATAAAATGTTTGCCTTTCTCAATACAAAAAAAAATGTAAGGAATAGATGTGATTACCATTACTAAACTGGAGTCCATAAAAATACTAAAATTTACATTTGGCAAAATTATCTACAATTTTTTTTTTTTAATAATTTAAAATAGATAAAAATAGTCTTGACACATCATTTTGGGAAATGATTCCATACATTTAAATTTGACCCATCTTTCATGGTTCAGACAACAGACCATATATTAATAGAACTATCAAATGACCCTGAGGTCAGTGACAGCATTAAAAAGAAATTACCCTCAGGTAAATAGTTCTTTTATTTATATGGTTGGCTTCAGACAGTATCCAACAATCTCAGGAACTATTTCATTAACATACAAACATACATGTATATAGTACATTTACATATTATTATAAGGATAATATATATTGAAATGTGTGTGTTATAATTTATATTTTGTCTTTCTGTATACAGATATAATAAATGCACATACATACACTGCATATACTTGCTCCTTTCACCTGTCTTTGTTGATTGGATGGGTTGTGTAACAGGGCCACAGAGCAAGAAGGATTGTTAATCATCAGTTGAAGTGTCAAAAGTAATAAGAAAAGCCAAAAAGGAGTTTGAAGAACAGCTAGCCAAAAATTCAGAAAGTAATAACAAAATGTTTTTTAAGTACATCAGAAGCAGGAAGCCTGCTAAACAACCAGTGGGGCCCCTGGACGATCGAGATACAAAAGGAGCACTAAAAGACGATAAAGTCATTGCGGAAAAACTAAATGAATTCTTTGCTTCAGTCTTCATGGCTGAGGATGTTAGGGAGATTCCCAAACCTGAGCCGTACTTTGTAGGTGACAAATCTGAGGAATTGTCACAGATTGAAGTGTCACTAGAGGAGGTTTTGGAATTAATTGATAAACTGAACAATAACAAGTCACCGGGACCAGATGGCATTCACCCAAGAGTTCTGAAAGAACTCAAATGTGAAATTGCGAAATTTTAACTATGGTTTGTAACCTGCCCTTTAAATCAGCTTCTGTACCTGATGACTGGAAGATAGCTAATGTAACGCCAATATTTAAAAAGGGCTCTGGAGGTGATCCCAGCAATTACAGACTGGTAAGTCTAACGTCAGTACCCGGCAAATTAATTGAAACAGTAGTAAAGAATAAAATTGTCAGACACATAGAAGAACATAAATTGTTGGGCAAAAGTCAACATGGTTTCTGTAATGGGAAATCATGTCTTACTAATCTATTAGAGTTCTTTGAAGGGGTCAACAAACATGTGGACATGTGGGGATCCAGTGGACATAGTGTACTTAGATTTCCAGAAAGCCTTTGACAAGGTCCCTCACCAAAGGCTCTTATGTAAATTAAGTTGTCACAGGATAAGAGGGAAGATCCTTTCATGGGTTGAGAACTGGTTAAAAGACAGGGAAAAAAGGGTAGGAATAAATGGTAAATTTTCATAATGGAGGGGGTAACTAGTGGTGTTCCCCAAGGGTCAGTCCTAGGACCAATCCTATTCAACTTATTCATAAATGATCTGGAGAAAGGGGTAAAAAGTGTGGTGGCAAAGTTTGCAGATGATACTAAACTGCTCAAGATAGTTAAGACCAAAGCAGACTGTGAAGAACTTCAAAAAGATCTCACAAAACTAAGTGATTGGGCAACAAAATGTCAAATGAAATTTAATGTGGATAATGTAAAATAATGCACGTTGGAGAAAATAACCCCAACTATACATACAATATGATGGGGGCTAATTTAGCTACAGCTAATCAGGAAAGAGATCTTGGAGTCATCATGGAGAGTTCTCTGAAGACATCCTTGTAGTGTGCAGAGGCGGTCAAAAAAGCAAACAGGATGTTAGGAATCATTAAAAAGGGGATAGAGAATAAGACGGAGAATATATTATTGCCCTTATATAAATCGATGGTACGCCCACATCTTGAATACTGCGTACAGATGTGGTCTCCTCATCTCAAAAAAGATATACTGGCACTAGAAAAGGTTCAGAGAAGGGCAACTAAAATGATTAGGGGTTTGGAACGGGTCCCATATGAGGAGAGATTAAAGAGGCTAGGACTTTTCAGTTTGGAAAAGAGGCGACTAAGGGGGGTTATGATAGAGGTATATAAAATCATGAGTGATGTGGAGAAAGTGAATAAGGAAAAGTTATTTACTTGTTCCCATAATATAAGAACTAGGGGCCACCAAATGAAATTAATGGGCAGCAGGTTTAAAACAAATAAAAGGAAGTTCTTCACACCGTGCACAGTCAACCTGTGGAACTCCTTGCCTGAGAAGGTTGTGAAGGCTAGGACTATAACAGGGTTTAAAAGAGAACTAGATCAATTCATGGAGGTTAAGTCCATTAATGGCTATTAGCCAGGATGGGAAGGAATGGTGTCCCTAGCCTCTGTTTGTCAGAGGGTGGAGATGGATGGCAGGAGAGAGATCACTTGATCATTACCTGTTAGGTTCACTCCCTCTGGGACACCTGGCATTGGTCACTGCTGGTAGACAGGATACTGGGCTGGATGGACCTTTGGTCTGACCCAATATGGCCATTCATATGTTCTTATGTCAGCTGTAGAGTATTTATCTTGTAAGCAGCTAAGCCCTACTGGAAACTTGTACTGTTTCAGGTTTGTCTCTCCTCATCTAAAGCAATTCATTACTCACCTATAAGAGCTGTCATAGACCCCAACAGTTGTGATGTTAGCTTCTTCAACACTCTTGACAAATTTAAAGAAAAAATTGCATTTTTATACTATGACTTTAAGATCAGTAAGTAGAGGTTTTCGGTGATTTTTTTCTGCTTGAACTTGGACACACATAATTGTGATTTAGTATATTTGAAAAATAAGCAAGTTGCAAAATGTTTCTAGAACAACTGAGGTTTACTTATTGGACCTTCATAACTTATGATCACAGAGACAGTGATATGTTGGCACTGCTTTTTGCTATAGTGACATCTCAGCAAGCTCAGAGATGAAATGTAAATTCTCAAACCCCCATGGGCGTGCATGTCAAAGTCAATTTTGAGTTTCTGCCCTCGTGTTTCTCTTTTCACATTTACTCAGAGGCAATATGCAGCTGAAAGAATGTCTATTGTCACCTTCCATTAAAATGCAGTGGAATCCATCCCAGTTATTATTTTTCCTTTTAGTACTGAGAAAATAAGTTTTTAGTTGTTTTTGGAATGAGGATAATTTTTATCTTCTGTGGGAGAAGTATTATTAGGTATAAATTATTTTTAAAAAATATTTGTGAGCTATACTGTATGAATTGTCACAGGACTGACTATAGAAACTTACTTAGGGATAGATTCTGTAGCAGAGTTTTGCAAGTGCTATGTATAAATTATTACAGAATTATACTCATCTTAGTATTACAGTTTTTCCCTTCATCTCTCAGGGTGCCTGCTTTCTGGAAAACCCATTAGCTAGTGAGAGGCTTGTTTTCCACCACCTTTTCCAAAATACCTGTATGCTGAATCGGGAAGTTGTTTCAATTGCAGTCTGTCTATCTACTTACTTATGTAGTATTTATCAAGGTAGTATCTGAGTGCCTAGCATCCCTGTCAAGTACTATTCCCATTTTACAGATGGAGAACTGAGGTATGGGGCAGACTTGCCCAAAGTCACACAGGAATTGAATCCAGATCATTGGAGTGCCAGTCTAGTGCCCCGTCCACTAGAGACTAGACCATCTTTCCTACCCAGTCATTCTCAACCTGATTCACAAGGATTCAATAGTAGTTCAGTAGCTCAGCAAACCAGATTCATAGCTTTTACTGCTCTTTTGTCACTCTCTGGGGTCCCAACCTTCTAAGCTGATGAAGGCAATGTGAGCTTGATAGTACTCAGTATCTTGCAGGATCACACCCTAAACGAGGCAGCGTACACTTCAAAGAAAAGCTGTGTTAAAATATTTGTTGGGGTGTAGATTGGATTGTCCAGTGAGCAGTATTCAGCTAACTGTCATGTTATTTTGTTTAGTCCCTGGCTTGAGTTGGTGTCCATGTCTTCAAGAATTAGAGCCATTCAGCTGCTGCAGTTTTTCTTTAAATCTTTGGAACAAACGGTATTATTAGTTGGATTCCTCATTGCCAAAAGGTCAGCTAAGCTGAAATAACTTTTATCTGTGACTTGTAGATTTGAAGAGGAATAGTAAAGTCAGTTCATTATTCCTCAATCAGGTGTTTAGTAAATAAATTCACTGCAGTTACTGACCTTTATAAATGGCTACCTTCCCCCCCGCCCCCCCCCATTTTCTGACTGACTTGTAGCAGGAATGCTTTACAGTAAAGAGGGGTTATATTTTTATTTTTGGTTTTGTTTGCAGCTGAAGAGGTTTATTAGAACACCGGAAATCCCTTCCAAGCACGTGAGGAACTGGGTCCCTAAGGTCCTGGAACAGCGGCGACAAGGCTTGGAAATGTACTTACAGGTGAGCTCCCTGTCAGCAGTGTGTGTGTGAAAAAGCAGCGCTCATTTTCAGAGCTGCCCTGTATGCTGGTATAGCACTGGAGTATTTTAAAATATTCCCAGAAATAAGAGACCTGGGATTTCACTGGTGGACTTTGGGCCCAGAGGAAAATGGTAGACCTGAATTCTTTTCAGACTGGGGCCCCTCTTTGTACTTTCTGTCTCCTTGCAGGGGGAAGAGGATAGGATTCCGCTCGCTAGAGGTAGGCAATGGGGAGTCCACCCTGAATTATGAGCTATATGATAGGTCCCCTGTAAGCCCCCCACTGCACTCACTTAAATGTCTGCTATGGGAAGACTGGGCAGATAGCACCCCTCTCTGATGTCATGTTTAATAAAGTTTTGGTCTGCTGCTTAAAATAAATCCCTGTGTCTCTCCTCATGCACTTGCATGTCTGGATCAAGAGCTTGTTTTCAGAGTTGACCTGTACACTGGTGTATCACTGAAGTGTTTTAAAATACCGCAGGTCCAGATAGTTGAATCCATTCGGTGAAATCCTGACTCCATTGATGTCAATGGCAGAACTCCCACTGTCTTCCGTGGGGCCAGGATTTCACCCACTGTCAATAGCTACACTGTAATAAGTTAGGGCTGACCATTAGGGGAGCTGTTTAAGCTGGCAAAAGGGGAAAAATGTGTTACATACTACTTCACAGTAGTGATCATTTGTGGCTTAGGTACTTAATGAGACTTTACCTAATCTTTGCTTAGACATCCATTAATTGTGGGAATTCCTACTGCAACCACGTAGCACTTGAATCACTCACTACTTAGAAAATGAAGAGTGCCTACGTTACAGATTGTTGAAATTTCTCCCAGATTCTAGGAAAGCTTGGGAGCTGGGGAGGGAAAAAATCATACTTTAATTTCAGAGTATCTCCAAAAGGGAAGAATTTTGGAACTGAGGAGGAAAATACACTTTAAATTGTTTGTTTTGATTTAATCTTAAGCTAATTCAAAAATTAGGGGATGGTTTTCAGGCGTGGGCATCCATGTAGTAAAAATGAATGGATGGCTGCACACAGAACTTCGGGGAAATATTATGTTCCGTTTCAGATTATTTTTAAAAGAGAATAGACGTTTCAGTGTAAGCAGACTATTGCCTAATTTAACATTTTTTTATTGTTCTACACAAACACTTCCCTCCTTCTTTCTTCTTACTCTTCACCATATTTGTTGTATCAGAAGTAGCTAAGGAATTTAGGTACATTTCTTGGGTTGATGTGTGTATACAAAGTTTGTGGGATTACTTTGAACATTCTTTTAAATAAATTGCTGTTCTCAAGAATGGCAAAGAGAAGTGGAGCATTGTTGATATTCTTGATTTATTTAGTCTTTCTCTATGCATATATTTATGTAACCAGTTTTTGTTTTCACCTGTATTAATGGATTATTTTGTTTTTACCAAGCTTCTGTTTTTGAAAATGTTCATATTTGTAGAAACTAGTAGAACTTTTTTGTTGATAATGACTGTGGAAAAAAGATAATACAACAATCTGTTGTAACGTTATTACACTATAATTATTATGTATGTTTTATTATGATGAGACGCTGTGAATTTGTTCATGTATAAAAATGTGATCTGCTTAAAATTGACTGTTGCAGAATATCACTCCTGAGATTAATTGATTGATTTAGGGGTGTATATTTTTGAATAAGGTGAGATACAGGTGAAATTATTACCATTATTTCATTGCTGAGAAATTACAAAGACACTATCACCCCCTACTGGAGGAGTTAATTAACTTACATTCCTGCTTATATCATTAACTTTGGTTATATCGTCACTAATTCTGATGTGCACATGCACAGAAATAAGAAGAAGAACGCTCGTTCATTCATCTTCATTTGAAATGGGGATAAATTTCATGTGTGCCAAAAGGAAAAAAACTGATGAGGAAAGAAATTTTAGACAAGATTTTAAAAAATATAAGCTGAATTTTAGTAACCCAAGTGCATATTGAGTCACTTGAATAAATGGCCAGATTTTCAGAAGTGCTGACCATCTGGCGATTCCCAAAGATGTCAATTGGAGCACTTATTTAGGTGGTTAACTTTAGGCATTAGTTTTTTAAGTTGTTGGCCTTTTATTTCAAACTGTATGAATCTAAAGTGTTGAAAGGAGATCTGTATAAATGTAACAGCAGGGATTTAGTGTTTATCTACATTGGCTATTACAATTTTCACCTGCTGTATGTGTAGCTGTAGAGTGCCAGCAGCTTTTTGATACTAGTAGATTGTTAGTGAATTATGATACAGTTGTAAAAAAAGTAGTAATTTTTTCAGGCCCTTATGAGGGGAATGAGTGTTTACACAGTTGCTACTGCCAATCATTGTCTTTATGCTCTCATGTAGTAATTTCTCAATATATGTGTGGCACCTTTAAAACACATAAAGTTGGCAAAATGGGTGTTGTACCATGCAGACTGCAAACAAATATTGACCTGTTTCAGTCATTGCCTTATGTTGTTTCTTTATTGTTTTTTTCTGTTGTATACTTTGGATAACCGGGTATGAGCGCCCCAGATAGTAAAATTTGAATCAAAATGTTTAATTGCATGAAAATGGAATGTTACACTTTGTCTTTTGTTCAGCAAAAGAAGTTATGTGTAATTCTCTTACAGTGACTGAAAATGCTGCAGCTGCCACTCCAGTGGATAAAAATGTCCCGTTACGTTTCATTTATTAACCCAACCTCTTGCATTATTTCAGAATAAATTTTAAAAATCCAGGTTCTAATTTTTTTATATTTTTGTATTTTTCTGATGAATTTAAAAATAGTTAATTAACACAGGTTTTTAAGAGATCATGCAATTCCAATGTTTGCATTTCTTTTAATATTTATCCCCATTTATTGTATGTTGAATTTGTCGGATTACTTATTTGTTTCTTGATTTTGAAAGCTGTGAGAGGCTTTTTGTCTTTTCATAATGGATTGATTTTCTGCCTGGAAGTGCTAAAGGTTGATTTATGTTTTGTTTTAAATGACTGCCACATTTTACAAGTTCAAGAATGGAAGTTACAATTTTCACTTAAAATACTATGGAACAACTGGCTAAGAAGCACCAAAATGTATTCAGTAGTTTCAGTGGTAATAATAAATAGCATTATATGGCATTGCCAATACTGTTCACACACTGACTGATTGATAAGAGATAGGTTGGAATTATTAGTTCCTATTTATAGATAGGGAAACTGAGACACAAAGCGTAAATGGGAGTCAGTGACAGAGCCGAGACTAGAGCTCACACAGCTCTAATTCAGAGTCCGGGCACTAGACTACACTGTCTCAGAAAATACTGTTGAAGGACAGTTTATCCATCATCTGCCTGCAGTTAGATATATAAAAAAGAGATTTCATAATAAAGGGGTTTAAGGTGGGGGGAGGTTCAGATATAATTCCACATGGGTCCCTTATACATAAAGTCTCTAATTCTGAGCAGAAAGGGTAGAAGCTTAACATATTTTAAAATTTTATTAAAGCTAATGTTAAAAAAATTATGTAATATATAGGTTGAGAAAAGAGTGTCTGTACATCTGGGTATAGTGCTTAGATTATCCACAAATACAAAGTTTGTTTTTAAAAGTTATATGATACGTATAGTACATAATCAGCAATACCGCAAATGTAGGTGAATAAATTTAAGAATATAATTTAGATATTAGCATCCAAGTATTTGGGTAGATCACTCATGAAAAGTTGTACAGAGATTTGGTTGTGGAAAGCAAAATATATCAGTGAGTGAAGATTGTCCCTCAGTAATTGAGAATTTAGGGTAGGTTGTCCATTTAGAAAATACAATCCATGAGGAAAGTAGTTCAGTTACTTTCCTGACTGCGCTTCTCATCGGCATATCACTGGGAATGTCTGATAAGAGGGCAGTGGGCCAGGAGCACACAGTCTCTCTCTCTAGCAGTAGAGAGGGAAGGGCCTGGCTGCCTGGAAGCTCAGAAGGTACCAAGACTGGAGCAGGGCTGGCGGGAGGCCAGAGGAGCTGTGGAGCTCCGGCCTAGAAACCCCCCAGGCTGCAGGCCTTGTTAAAGGCCAGAAAAGGGTACTGTGGTGCAGGGCTGGGGGGAAGGCCTGAGGAGCTGGGGAGCTCCAGCCTAGAAACCCCCCAGGCTGCAGGCCTTGTTAAAGGCCAAAGAAGGTACTGGGGTTGCAGAGGGCAGCCCAAGGGCAGGCAGAGGCAGCAGGTCCAAAACCCCCCTTTCCGGTGATGAGTGGTACTTACACTGCAGTCTGCCCTGGGCAACGGGGGGCTAGGTGATGACTGGCAGTGGCCGTAGACTGAGGCAAGGTGGGGATAGAGGGTGGGGGTTCCCTGGGGAGGGGAGATCCAGATCTGTGGGGGTACTGCCAGGGGGCAGCACCTCAGCCTGAAAGGGGCACCGGGGTCCAGGAGGGACTCGGGCTCAGCGGCAAGCAGGACACCGGCCTGCAGAGGGCGCTCCAGAGGCTGGAAACGCTAATTCCCTGGACGACCAGCAGGAGACGCCGCACTTGTGAGTCCCACCCCGTGACACTGATCTATACTGGTGAGATTGGATCAAGGTTTGTTTTAACCCCTTTACTTTCCTAAGAGCACTAGGAATTAGAAGCAGGGATGGAAATCCATAGCGCCAATTGTTAGTCCAGGGAATGAGGAATACATCTGTTGCTTCCAGTTCTTTTTCTTTGACTCTAGTGTGCAATCTGTGACTGTTCATATGGCCTTTACCCCAAAGAGGTATAGAAATGGAAATCTCCGTTAATAGCATATCTGCAGAAATACCGGTCGCTTGAGAGGTCTCCACTCCCTCCAGGATGGACTGTATATTGGATTAGAAAGCCACTTTTTAGATAAATTTTCTTTACTGATGTTAGGGTTTATTTGTCCATTAGATAATTAGTTGGGGTTCCAATAGTAGGTTACACTAAGGGATTCCACCTAATTGTTTATATAAGCAATTACTGCCAT